CCCACGTTATATATGAGGTTTATAGATGTTTTCTTAATACTTCCTAGATTTCAATATTTTCCAAAATAGTTTTCTTTTGCTTTTATCTTTAAATGTTATTTGAACGTGCATCTTACTGTTTAAATACCACTATAAAACTGGTCGTATACAAAATCAATCATAATTGAATTTTTAAAGTCCTTGAAGAGATTCTGTACTTTCCAGATTGACGTAAACGTTGACGGCGCCATAGAGACGGAGTGTCTCTTCACGTAGTGATTGAGAGTTTCTAATGATGTTTTCAGATGTTTGTTAGAAAGAAAGTTGAAAACACTTTGTTATGACATCTCATAAATTAATACAACTGAAAAGGTGCAGGTTGTCTTATAAGGAGTTGAAAATACTTTTAAATAACACTCTGGCTTTGCTGCTTACAAAACGTCTTTATGAAGGCGTGTTGCACGAGAATATAATTGTCATGCCATTGGCACTTATAAAAACCTTACATCAAGCGGAGCTGGCCCAGTTAGGAAGTAAAAAGTCTACTACGCCAAGGACCAGTGTTCGAATCCCCCATGCTCAAGTTTTTTTATTGTTTTTTTGGCGGCTGGTTTTTATGATGTTTCCAAAACATGTTATAACACCAGTATTTAGTTTTATAAGCTCCGCGTCTTGCACTTTTTAAGTTGTATAAATGTATTAAATGATGTATATTAAAGTATTATTGATTTTTTACGTAAGTCATTGAAAAGTATTTTTAACTTCTTTATGACAAGCCGTGTTGCTTGGGTATTGTAGTTCGTTCGCAATTCTCGATGAACATTTCAAATCGTTCTATCTGCTTTGATCGATTCTCTTCATAGACTTTCTCTTTTCATAACCACTGCTATGCAAACAAATTTCGCGCTAATTCTACCACATAGTTTGATAAAGGAGGTTCTTATCTAGCGTCCAAAACGTCAAATACTACAGGGAAAGTTTTTGCAGCTGAGTTATTGACGAAAGAGAAAGTCGATGAAGAGAATCGATCAATGCAGATAGGACCTTTTGAAATGTTTATCTATAATTGTCGTTAGAAGCAAACAACTGGAGATGTCCGTTGAAATAAAGCGGATGGTCAAGTTAAGTTTTGCACATGGCTCAGCGAAACCATCTATAGAAAAAATGCGAATTGTCTGAAATCGATGAACGCGAACTCAAATGATTGCTACATATTTCGTAATGGAGGAAAAATTTATGTTCATCAAGTTCAAATTAGAAGCCTCGATGTTTCATTGTCTGCTACACAACCGTGAGCAAATAACTTTTGATTATGCCGATGGGAAGTCAGTTGAGATAACGTTCAATATGTGAGAGTATACGAACTCCCACCAGAAGTCCCGGATAGCGATCTAGCATTGCACACTGGGGACAAAATCGAAACAATGTGTTAAAATTCAATAACTTCGGTGCTCGCTGGAACAAGAGACTAAAAAATAGTCATTCTTATAGAAAAAAGTCTCAGAAATCGATTGGAGTAGGTTTCATCTTGAGCACGATAGGGTAAGTTGGGGTTTTTCACAGTTTTGCCCTAAAATCTCCTATTTTGCATGATTTGAATGCTGTATCTCAAGATACCGATGATATAGACGGATAATTTCTTCGGCAAAGTTGATCAGGAGGTCAAGGAATGTTGGATGATGGACAGAACAATTCGGAATTCCTCCGCCAGGTGGCACTAGTGAGCATTCGAAGTGAATATGTTTGCGCTGCTGTATCTCAAGATCCTGACTATTTAGACGGATGATTTCTTCGGCAAAGTTGATCAGGAGGTCAAGGATTGTTGGATGATGGACAGAACAATTCGGAATTCCTCCACTAGGTGGCGCTAGTGAGCATTCGAAGTGAATATGTTTGCGCTGCTGTATCTCAAGATTCTGACTATTTAGACGGATGATTTCTTCGGCAAAGTTGATCAGGAGGTCAAGGACTGTTGGATGATGGACAGAACAATTCGGAATTCTTCCACTAGGCGGCACTAGTGAGCATTGAAAGTGAATATATTTGTGCTGCTGTATCTCAAGATCCTGACTTTTTAGACGCATGATTTCTTCGGCAAAGTTGATCAGGAGGTCAAGGAATGTTGGATGGTGGACAGAACAATTCGGAATTCCTCCACTAGGTTGCGCTAGTGAGCATTCGAAGTGAATATGTTTGCGCTGCTGTATATCAAGATCCTGACTATTTAGCCGGATGATTTCTTCGACAAAGTTGATCAGGAGGTCAAGGATTGTTGGATGATGGACAGAACAATTCGGAATTCCTCCACTAGGTGGCGCTAGTGATTATTGAAAGTGAATATATTTGTGCTGCTGTATCTCAAGATCTTGACTATTCAGACGCATGATTTCTTCGGCAAAGTTGATCAGGAGGTCAAGGAATGTTGGATGGTGGACAGAACAATTCGGAATTCCTCCGCTAGGTTGCGCTAGTGAGCATTCGAAGTGAATATGTTTGCGCTGCTGTATATCAAGATCCTGACTATTTAGCCGGATGATTTCTTCGACAAAGTTGATCAGGAGGTCAAGGATTGTTGGATGATGGACAGAACAATTCGGAATTCCTCCACTAGGTGGCGCTAGTGATTATTGAAAGTGAATATATTTGTGCTGCTGTATCTCAAGATCCTGACTATTTAGCCGGATGATTTCTTCGGCAAAGTTGATCAGGAGGTCAAGGACTGTTGGATGGTAGACAGAACAATTCGGAATTCCTCCGCTAGGTTGCGCTAGTGAGCATTCGAAGTGAATATATTTGTGCTGCTGTATCTCAAGATCCTGACTTTTTAGACGGATGATTTCTTCGGCAAAGTTGATCAGGAGGTCAAGGATTGTTGGATGATGGACAGAACAATTCGGAATTCCTCCACTAGGTGGTGCTAGTGATTATTGAAAGTGAATATATTTGTGCTGCTGTATCTCAATATCCTAACTATTTAGACGGATGATTTCTTCAGTTATGGTTGATCATGTGCCACATCAAATGACGTGAGAATTTTCAAATAAGATCATTGGTAGTCATATTGAGTGTAAATAGGGTCAGACCATAGGTGAATAAATTGGGATTTTTCCTATTCATATAAGCAAGTTTGGTCTCTTAATATCCATTAAAATATAAACTACAGTAATGACCTGATTTTATCAGTCCCTTCACGCATTATTCTTTTAATGTTCAGTAATTTCCTATATCCATAATTCGAAATCTTTTCCATTAATCTTCTTGATCGATGTTTAGGATAAACTTTGGTGCAATAAAACCCTCGAAATAGCGCATGGGTTTCGTAGAATATTGGAAAATATTTTTAAAAAGAGGGCTGATAAAATCGAGTCATTATTGTATATATTATATCTTTACAAAAAATTCCACCGGCTGGAGCGGGAATCGAACCCTCACTCCATGGCACACGCAAAATAGCTGTTAGACGGGTGACGCCGCTAACCACTCAACCACGAAGACCACTTTGACCCGAAAATGTGAAATGTCGTCATGGAAACCCAATCGAAAAGAATTATTTGTTTACTCTTGTTTCTTATGTGACAGTAGCTCAGTGTAGTGCAGTTCTTACGTGGTGTTAAGTGTGTTCCACTGAATTTCATTAAGCAAAATGCCGTCAAATAAAAATATCGTTGAGGAATATTTTGCGTCTGGTCGAGATAAAAACCTTTCCTTGACTTTGTGTCTAGGGCACTGTCGAAAGCACCTGCGGATGTTGCGCAAGGTGTTAAAAACTGGATTGGTCAATTTAATCGGCGATGGTCAAAAACCCACAGTAAGGATCGATTCTTTAAGAAGAATGCAGAATGGCTTGAAAGCATATTCGAGGTAAGAATCCCTGGGCGTGCTTAATTTTAGAAAGCAGCATAAATTATCGAAGAAACGTTTTTAATACAATACCGTCGAACATTAAAAAAAATAAACAGCTCGGAAAAATTGTACCTGTTGAGCAAAGTGCTAAATTAAAAAAAAAAACAACGGATTCCAAACCAATTTAAATTGAACTTGAATGAAAATTAGTTAAAGCGTGGAAATGCGATAATGTAAAGCAAGACAAACTACTGATAAAATCTGTTTTTGTTCTTGTTACTAAATAATCAATAGCATCAACCGCGATAAGAAGAAGATTTGTCTTTGATATTTGTATGAATATTTTAGAAAAATCCTAAACAAAAACTACAGACTCTAAATTTTACGAAAATCAATCACATCATCATACATCATTAATTATTTTATCAGGTTGAAGACCAACCCTCAGGATCCAGGCCTTCGAAAAAAACGCGGGTCCATTCAAGGAAACCCAAAGATCCCTCGTCACAATCATCTCCTATTTCACCTCCTTTTGCCACTCCGAATTTGGATACCAGTTCCAACAGTCAGCGAACACCGTCAACCCTAAAGCCTCGAGGTCGAAAGCGCAAGGAGTTTAGCCAGTTGACAAGATTTTCGAAATACAGACGCAGTATCGGACTTTTCAAAGAACAAGGTCTTGATAACTTGCTGTATTCAGCCAAAATTGCTGCCATAAAGGCTGCTAATCCAGCAACTGCTCAAATCTTACAGCACTTGTTGAGCGGCGGTGAGGTTTGGGCAAAAGAGACCATCGAATCCGTTGACTCTGTTCGTGGAACATCTTTGTGTTCGGAGGAATCATCTTTGGCGATAAAATCAAAACTTGGGTTAAGTAAAACCAAATATGGAGAGCTGGCTCGATTCACTAAGAAGCATCTAGGTATGACAGTTTAATTAACGTATATATAAAAGAAATACTTAGTAGAACATTTTTTTGTTTAAAATAGGTCAAGTTTCTAAATCTTTGATCAATTTTAGAGATGTGCATTGTTATTAGTCCCTTCATATTGTCCCATTTAGGTATTGTAATTTTGCAGCCCTGGAAAAAAGTAGCTGAATTTAGAAAAACCATAATTCCACCGTTCTCAACTCCAAACCGAGAAAAAGGATACTCATCAAGCGTTTTAATCCGTGATATGGTTATATGTGATTTGACACGGATTCTACAACTGGATGATGTAGCAGACAGGATTTCAAAGTTAAACCAGAAAGTGTTGACTTGTAAATTGCATGTCACGGCTGGTCCGGACTCTGCTACAGGTTTTACGCACTACAACCAGACTGGCTTTTTAAAAGAGGATGATTCTCTTCTCTCCGAGCATTTTATGAGCCTGTTGTTAGTATCCGAAAGAGGAGAGGATATTTGGCGGAACCCGAATCCCCAGTCAGATTCGTTCTGCAGAATACGCTCTATGAATTGGACTAAAGAGACCAACTCGCTTACCAAGTCCATGTTTGAGCAGTTTTTTGCAGAGGTTGATTCCTTGAATCTGGATCCGGTGGAAGTAATTTCCGGTGATGTACGTGTGTGCGTTTATATTTCGGCAATGTATACAATGATAGATGGGAAAGCGGCCAATGCAATTGTAGGGAATCAGGATACACATGTATGTCCGCTTTGTGTTCCGAATGCTGATCCCCATATTGGTCCATCGTTTTTTCATTCACGTCTCAACGCCGTTGAATGGTTGATCAAAAATGCAGCGAAAAAATCCGTTCCTGACCACCCGGCATACACGAATCCCCTAGTTAAAAAGAAAGCCCGTGAAATAGCTGATGAACTAGAACGTGAGTATGGCATGAACATCAACCGTCCTAAGATTGGTGGGTCCGGAAGCTGCAATAACGGCAATATGGCCCACCGTTTATTGGCAGAACCCGGAAAATTTGCAAAAATCATCGGCGTACACAAGGACCTGGTGGAAAATCTGCGGCTCATCAGTTGCCTGGCGCTTTCTTCTAGAGTATTGGATCCTACCAAAGTTATGGAGTTGTATAACACTCTTGAAAAGCAGATTTTCAATTAATTCCCATACCTAATGAAATTGCCGCCATCCATACATAAGTACATGCATCTAGCAAATTTCATTGAAAAATTGGTAAGTTTAGATTTAATAGTATATCGAATCACAATCATAAATGTTTTGTTTTCTTTTCCTGCAATTGAAACATCCAGCCTTATACCATGAACTTTGTTGACGAGCAGTCCGGTGAACGTTGCCATAAGGTTTATAAATTCATTCGGCCACATCTAGCTCGGAAAACGTCTCCGGAAGAAAATTTGACCGACATGATGACCGAAGCTTTGACTAGGTCTGACCCAAAGCTTGCCTGTGTTTTTTAACCAGAGCAGACAATCGAGAAGTACTGATGCCAGGTTCGAAGAGAGGCTGGACGAATACACCTTGAAACAAGATGACAGCGATGAAAACCATGGAAAAGCGGATGACTCCGGTGAACTCATCGAAGAGAGTGACGAAGAAGATGATGACCCCGGTGAACTTAACGAGGAGAGCGATGAAGAAGACATTTGAATGTTCCGTTGGATAAGTACCACAGATGTGTCCCTGTGGCTCACACACACACGCACACACACACACACACACACACACACACACACACACACACACACACACACACACACACACACACACACACACACACACACACACAAACACACACACACAATGAAGAATACATGAACATATAGTAGCACAAACATATTCATTTCAAATGGTCACTAGCGCCATCTAGCGAGAGAATTCCGGATTGTACCTTGACTTCCTTATCAACTTTGCCGTAGAAATCATCCGTATAAAAAGTCAGGAACTTGAGATACAGCAGCACAAACATATTCACTTCAAATGCTCACTAGCGTCACCTAGCGGAGGAATTCCGAATTGTTCTGTCCATCATCCAACAATCCTTGACCCCCTGATCAACTTTGCCGAAGAAATCATCCGTCTAAATAGTCAGGATCTTGAGATACAGCAGTACAAACATATTCACTTCAAATGCTCACTAGCGTCACCTAGTGGAGGAATTTCGAATTGTTCTGTCCATCATCCAACAGTCCTCGACCTCGTGATCAACTTTGCCGAATAAATCACCCGTCTAAATAGTTAGGATCTTGAGATACAGCAGCACAAATATATTCACTTTCAATAATCACTAGCGCCACCTAGTGGAGGAATTCCGAATTGTTCTGTCCATCATCCAATAATCCTTGACCTCCTGATCAACTTTGCCGAAGAAATCATCCGTCTAAATAGTCAGGATATACAGCAGCGCAAACATATTCACTTCGAATGCTCACTAGCGCCACCTATTGGAGGAATTCCGAATTGTTCTGTCCATCATCCAACAATCCTTGACCTCCTGATCTTCTTTGCCGAAGAAATCATCCGTCTAAATAGTCAGGATCTTGAGATACAGCAGCGCAAACATATTCACTTCGAATGCTCACTAGTGCCACCTGGCGGAGGAATTCCGAATTGTTCTGTCCATCATCCAACATTCCTTGACCTCCTGATCAACTTTGCCGAAGAAATTATCCGTATATATCATCGGTATCTTGAGATACAGCATTCAAATCATGCAAAATAGGAGATTTTAGGGCAAAACTGTGAAAAACCCCAACTTACCCTATCGTGCCCAAGATGAAACCTACTCCAATCGATTCCTGAGACTTTTTTCTATAAGAATGACTATTTTTTAGTCTCTTGTTCCAGCGAGCACCGAAGTTATTGAATTTTAACACATTGTTTCGATTTTGTCCCCAGTGTGCATTGGTGCTAGGGAAATACGGTGATGTAAAGCGTTTAGTTCGTGTGAAATTTCCAACTGCCTTGGGTCTCGATATGCACACAGGTGTAAAGGATCTAAGAAAAAAGGAGATTCCCAACGCGCTGCATTTCATGCTCATGGGGCTCAGTTGGTAAAAGCGCAGCTACAAAGCAAAACCATGCTGGAGGTGGCTGGGTTCGATTCCCGGTCCGGTCTAGTAATTATTCGGGTTGAAAAATTTCTCGGCTTCCCTGGGCATAGAGTATGATTGTACTTGCCACACAATTATACTAATGCACAAAGCTCTCAATTAATTACTGTAGAAGTGCATCTAGAACACTAAGTTGAGAGCACGCAATAAGTCAATATGCGATAAGCAATAAGCTTGAAATGTGAAGATGTTGTTGTCTCTTTTTAAAGTTGCATTATAATGATCAATGAATGTAAGTTTAGAGTCCAACAATTCGCTCATTCCTTTCCCATTCCTACCCATTCCTTTATCACTGGTATTACCTATTATAAAGTTTGAGATAACTAATGTGTATACATTGAGGAGGTTTATTAGTCCCAACCATCATCTGTTAGTTCTCTCTATAGTTACATCTGATCTGGCAATAACGGAGTAGCAGCCGTAGGTGGTCAATCGTGCTGGCCTAATAGCTGCCAAAAAAATCGATTGGATAATATTGAAGGCATTTGTGAGGATTAATGTCCTTTTCGATTAAATGCACGCGTTGCCATGTTACTACTCAAGTATCTCCCAGCTGCAAACAATAACGCTGGTGGATTACCTTTTCGTGGTGCGTTACTGGTATAAGATCTACCACCGAACCCTAGTCCTGGCTACTTCAAACTAGGAGAACAGGATTTTTCAGTAATCAAAGGAATACATCTTAGTCCTTGCTACTTTTATGTCTTGTTAATAGTGACAAGACTCGGGTTGCTCCACCGCGGATGATCTTGAAACAAGGAAAATTAGTTAGTAAGTTTTCATCTATGTGATTCTTTGTTCTCTAGTTTAAAGAGGTTGATGCTAAGTTCTGATGCATGGTCATAATCGATGTTATTCTTGATTTTGTTGCTAAGCAAACCGATTTTGACTGAAAAAGGGGTTCGCCTTTGGAGGCTGCTCTAACTCTTCGAAGGGTATAAATAGGGGGACCTTTCAGTTAGAATCGGTTCGTTGCGATGAAAACGCGAATGACAACTGTATCAAAACCGAATACTGTATCATTTCTCAATAGTGATGGAGTAACACGACATGGCATGTACTACTATACCTAGTTCAAATTACTGGTCGCAGAGAAAAGATAAATCTCCCAGCATGTAGTGATAGCTTGCTATATCTGTCCATAACTTTACAGGTTCAATGTTTGCATTATGAACCAACTTTGTGCCGAAAATCTGGGATGAGCTGCATGTAAATAAGGTGCTCTGAGATTGAAATATACGAAATATACGATTGTTTCATAACAGACGTGAAATTCAGCTGAATTAAACGTACTTTTCGTCGAGCAACGAACTTTTTAGTCTCGGAAAATTTAATTTTACATGACATGTTTGTTTATGTCTCATCCTTTATGCCACAGATGGATTCCAGCACGTGTAAAACTAGTTATTTCTAAGTGTGTAATTTTAATTTTCCGGGAACATCTCCTCGTGCGGTGCCCTTTTTTCTTTCAACGTTTTTTTTGCGATTTTTAAAGCGGAACATATCGAATTTTTGAGCAATCTGTCCAAACTATTTTGTTTCTTTCGTCTTTCATTAGACACATTTTTTGAAAACCTCACGAATCGTAATAAAATTTGAAAGAAGGAGCACTTTCCAAACAATCCGGTAACATTCCAGAATTGACCACTAGGAGCACTGCTATAAAATAAGCTGTACTGCCGGATTCCAAGTGAAGATCACTTTACTAGCATAAATCTATTTATTTTTAAACAATATATTGGATTTTGTCAAGTTATATTTAATTTGTTTTTCGTCCCATGTTATTTAGTTTTTTCCCTACCACCCCCTCCCACACCTGCTTGAGTGCTGTCGGCACAAAAATAAAATAATATTTGCATCGGCCTCATGTGTTGTGTAATAAACGTACACCATTAAAACAAATTAAAGCCTCAACCTTCTACCAATTATTAACCACGCCATACAATGAATTAGTAACCACACACCTAAAAATAACTAATTTTAAACGTAGCGAAATCCAGCTTTGGCATAAGGGATGAGACGTAAACAAACATGTCATGCAAAATTAAGTGCTCCGAGACAAAAAGTTCGTTACTCGACGAAACGTACGTTTTATTGAGCTGAATTTTGCGTCGGTTATGACTCAATTTGATGTCTCAATTGACGCTCGTATACCGTGCCGATTCAAATTTCGGACACTTAAACTCGAATTTCGGACACTTTTAAAAGTTGATTATCTCGGTCGAATATGATCCACATGTCTTGTAAATTTTAAATTTTTTTGACTAGTGCCCTCCACGATCATCTAACATTATTACTTTGTTTCTAACTGGATGTAATATTTAATTAAAAATGAAAGTGTCCGAAATTTGAATCGTCCGAAATTTGAATCGGAACGGTATGTCATTCTCAGAGCACCTAAACTTACATGATTTTTTTTCTAAGAGTGCCAGTTGAAATCAAATGGCGCTATATAAAAAATAACCGTCTAATGACAAAAATGAGTCGTAAGCAATTTGCTTCAAATTAAAAAGCATTTGAGCTCTTATAAAATAATCATAACGAAAATAAAAACCTTTCCGGAGTGGTTGGATCTTCCACCACTAGACATTCAAGGTCAATTTTAAACATGCATATACATTGTCTAAACGGTTCGCTACCAGGTCATTTGTATTGTCGATTTGTCATTTTAAGTGCTTCCACAAAACATGCAAAGCATATAATTTACTTACTGAAGCAATTTAGAGCACTTTCTAATTAAAATAAAATTACTACGTTATCCGCCATTGGCAACAAGTCTGCTAATAATTCAGTGCTAATTTCCAATCAAACCCGTATAAATTCTTCGACAAGCAGCTACAATTCCATTAGTTGACATCGCCCGAAGTGAAAACAATCGCTGTGTGAAAACAAAATGGATCAACATTTCCAGCACATCAAACGAATCTTCAAAGGGCAGGATTACCCGAAAACAATTTGCATTTCTTACTCGCTAAAGATGTTAACGTAGGTATAGTAGGTAGAAAAGGTTCCAATGCACTAACTTGCATATTGCTCAACAGCTATCTAGGCCAGTGGAACCAGAAGCAGGCATCACGGGTGTACAAAACTTACTTTAATTTGATAAACGTTTTGCTTGTGATTCATTTTTGTAGCATGATATGGGATCTTTGTGAAATTTATAATGATTTCATTTTATTTGGAGACAGTATGTGCGTGATAGCGGGAGTTGGCTTGGTGATGTACAAAAAGATGTATCATAACTACTACAGTGTTAACTTTGAGGAAGTATTTGAGCAACTCAGGAGCTTCAACCGACAAAATGACAAAAAAGATTCGACCATTAGGAACCTTTCGAGAAAATATTTCATAGAGGAATACATGTTAACTATCATTACAATTTTTCTGGGCATTTCATTGATCATTGCCTTTTGTGGACATGTAAGTACCACTTACTATTCTCAATATCGTCATGAATCTCGAGGCTATTATAAAAATATTCATAACTATATTTCAGTCGCTTTTCGATTTATCCCTTCCTTTGCGCGCCAAATATCCAATGGGAAATAACTCAATAGAACTATTTATAATATTTACGCTATTTCAAGTGATAATAAGCTTTTATGTTATCGAAGGGATAGTTTTCATTGATGGAATTGGAGGACAGGTCATGAGTCAGATGTCGTTACAGTTTCATATACTTTCACTCGAGTTCCAAATGATAGGACATGGTCTGGTCAGTACAAAAAATGATGTCTTGGAGAAAATCAAACACAACGCACTGATAAAACAAAATCTACACGACTTAATCCAAAGGCATCAGCAATTAATTGAGTATAGCTTGTGTTAGTAAATTTGGGTAAAACAAATTAACGGCTTTCATTCCAGATTCGGTAAGCAAGTAAGTGCCCTCTACCAACCCATGCTGTTAGCGCAATTAGCTTGCAGTCTTTCTATGCTTTGTTTGACGGCTTTTGAGGCTACCTTAACAACGCATGATATATTTTTATTTATGAAATTCGCCGTCTACGCTGTCTCGGTTATGATCCAAATTTTATATTGGTGTTATTATGGAAACAGAGTATCTCATATGGTAAGTTTACTGTCAACGTATCAGATGGAAAGGATTAATGTAATATAATATTTTCAGTCAACAACAATAAACGAGGCCATCATCAAATGTAACTGGATTGCTGCTGATAACAGTTTCAAGAAAGATCTCATGTTCACGATGATGAGAGCCCAGAAACCTTTTCAGTTCATGGTTTATGGGTATTTTCCAATATCATACGACACATTTATTTCGGTATGTTAATTTATGGTTTTGAACATTTATACTTCTTGTTTTTATTTTTATTTATTTTTTCAGGTTTTGAGTCGATCATACTCATTGTTCACGTTGTTCAAAACAGTGAGTGATTGAATTTGTGTGTTGTTTTATCTACCATTGAAGACATAAACTTGGAACCGATTCATTGTACATTTAAACATGGCACTGAGCATAGCCAATAGCCCAAGCAACATTTCGAGTTTTAACAAAGTTCTAAAGCATTCTTGAAGAGTTGATCTTGGTCTACGTGACTTTAATAAAACTATAATTGATACTTTAACTATATGATTTTGTATTATTTCTGCGTGAAGTCAACGATTTCCATAGTTGAAGAAGCTAATATCAAATAACAGACTAAAGTGGTAATTTGTATACGATAGATGAGGAGTATAGAAGTATAGAGTTGATAGTTCCGTTAGAGTATGGCAGTGTGAAAATTGTATATAGAGATTAGAAAGCGAGCAAGGACAACTTTTTAAGAAGGTACAAATCGGTTTGATCATCTCTCTTTACCAAACTCCCCCGTTGGAAAAGGATGGTGAGGGGTATCCCTGAGATTTGATTTTTGATATTTTCCCAACACTGATCAAAATAATTACTTAAACTAATTAACCCTAAACAAGACAATGACGAACTCCCCTCTCCCATTATTGTAAACAACTGTAAGAAATATTGAAACCGCTCATCTCCCTCTATTCCCTAACAAAGTTTGTTGATGAACCCCATGGATTGATTTGGTGAGTGTGTTTCAGTTGAAAAACATTCTGATAAATGTATTATCATTGTTCTTGGATCCAGTTTGTTACCCAGCGGGATAGCCTCGATGGTTGTTGCGGTTAGGTACGTGTGATGCGTTTGTCTGTTGCCCTTTTCAAAACAGAATTCGGAATTACAGAAATCGGGTTTTTTTTATCAAAATTAAGGTAAAGCTGATGTGTAAATAAGTTCAAATAATATATTTTTTAGCGGACAAGTGGAATATGGACAAGGTTACCAGGACGCAGATCACATTATTTGGTCATGTGCTGAACACCGTGGAGTCAGATCCGAGTTGTACGATTCCCTTAAAGCTCGAGGTGCGTGTGTGCGTGCTTTTTTTTTTTTTTTGAAAGCCTTCAAAAAGGCCATTGTGCTACCGCTTGACGACTGGGCGCACAGTCGCGTTGACACGGTGTGCTAATTGCCGCTTCCAGTTCACTGATCGTCTCTCCAGTTTGTGAGCCGTTTAGCTCCCAGCGTCACGTTCTACTCGGTTATCCCCGGTGGTGGATTCAGCCTACTCTGACGGAGAGTTCTCCCGGCTTCGGCTTTCAGTTCATACTTGTGTGAGCACATTACTAGTTTCTTATTGGTCTTCTCGCCATTTTCGCTGCAGCGCTGACATGACCTACCTAGGACATTTGAAGACCACATTCCCACACTCCGGACAGAAGGGTAACGTTGTGTGTCCGAACCGATGCAGGTACTTCCTGAAGCAGCCATGACCAGACAGGAACTGCGTCAAGTGGAAGTTGACTTCTCCATGCTTCCTGTTCACCCAGGTCGAAAGAGTCGGTATTAGACTGTGTGTCCATCTACCGTCCTCTGCTGCATCCCACCCCTGCTGCCACTTAGCCATCGACTCCGTTCTCACCATGTTTCGTGCTCCTCTGGTTTCTCTCGTCATATAGCACTCGTAGTCCTTCGCCAGGGTGATGCCGATTGGGTGTGTGTGTGTGTGTGTGTGTGTGTGTGTGTGTGTGTGCGTGTGTGTGTGTGTGTGTGTGTGTGTGTGTGTGTGTGCGTGTGTGTGTGTGTGTGTGTGTGTGTGTGTGTGTGTGTGTGTGTGTGTGTGTGTGTGTGTGTGTGTGTGTGTGTGTGTGTGTGTGTGTGTGTGTGTGTGTGTGTGTGTGTGTGCGTGTCTGTGTGTGTCTGTTTGTGTGTGTGCGTGAGTTTGTATATTTTTTGTGTTAATCTTAAATCATATTCCAAATCTCCATACAATTTTCATCCACTAACCTCGAGAAGACCGCGAGTAAGTGGTTCAAATCCTTTAATTTTAGATTTAAGACATTAATATTGCAATACAGTATAATGCAAATGATAACTTGGCCCTGTAAAGTTTATTCGATTGAGCCTTACAAATAAATTTATTAACCAAAACAAAGATATCAATAGTTTTCCCCGATTAACATTTAAGCGCAACTTTATAGAAATCAGTTTTGGAATTTCTGCTGAAAATTCACTTAAACTAAAGCGTCTAAATCGCCAAGACTTCAAATGTGCTGGACCTAAAATGTGTAAACCAGCTGTGGTTCATTTTCGTGACAAATGTGGCTGGTAATTAAAGGTAAAGAGAGAGAGAGAGATTTGAATTAAAGTATGCTAACTTGAAGTTTATATATGTAGTATATCTGGAATATACTGATATCAAAAAATCATGCAAGCGTTCAATCGTTGACCATTTTTAAAAGTGACAATTATTCCGAATCACCCTGTAGCTACCTACGCACAGGTTCGAACGACCTAATGGCATCTGGCCTAATACTCCAGCATCCAAAACATGTTGACCCTACCCTCCCCTATTTATAAACCTGGCTTCGCCAATGTATATACCTATTACAGCATTTCCTCCATATATGCGATGGGAGATACGGTCCACCCACCGCTATTTCGCGGTTGTCCTTCAACCAATTACGTTGATTTTTTGTATGTGATTAGTTTCAACCATAAACTAGTTATCTACCGAAAATCAGCTCAATTAGTTGAAGGACAGCCTAGACGGTACCACCCACCGCATATATGGAGAGAATGCTGTACTTATATCCGGTACTGGAAATCCATTTTCAATCTTCTCATTATTAAAAAAAAAACTTTATCCCCATAATACCTATGTATGTATGTTGCAAAATAGTCTTGAACGTTTCCTCTCAAAGGTACTGATGTCCAATCATGATGTTACGAAGCTGAAAGCCAAATTAATTGACGATCCAACCTCGTTCCAAATATTTTATACATTCTACCCAAATGCAAACCACAAATCGGAACTAAACGAGAACAATTGTGGTTATCCGGCAGCAGTCGAAAAATTACACACCAACCCAATGATGATCACCAATGGCGTCAAATTTTTACGTGTGCTTCAATACTTGACTTCAACACTCGATAATTGATTCAATGGAGACGAGGGAAAAAAATCTGTCCAATTTGCTGACCACGGGAGTGTAACCGTGAGGGCATTCGCATTGTCGATTCTAACAATTTAGAAAACTCATCGACCCATAGTTATTCAAATGATTACCTAGGGGATCGCTGTGTGTGCGTTCTTTCACCTGGAATGTGTCTGTCGCATGACGCTTTTTTCGTTCACTTAATCCACATAACTACCAGTAAGTTTTTCCACAAATCCACTACCTCTCAGTGTTGGTATGGATATGAAAAATTCTCCGGATGTGAACAACAAAAGAACATCCGTTTTTCAGAATAGCACTGACTTGGTAAAATGCAAACGATGATTAGCCAGCGTACTGATGAAAGCAAATATGTTCAAACTCGATCGTGACACTTGCCCATCCCGTACGTAGTTTATCACAATACTAAAGTCAACCCTTTTCTCAAAAGAGACAAATATACTATATTCGCTTTTCCCTCCCACTCACGCTTGTCACATGAGCTAGGGGGAAATCGCTACCAGAATGATCTCACGGGTAAATATTGACCAATACACCCAGGGAGAGACATCAGATTGTTATACATGCAACCGGGTGAAAATCACGCACATAGAAGCGCAAAAGAACATTCAAAGCTAACAAAAAAAAAACATGTTCAATTCTATGCCATGGAAAATCTGCTCTTTCACTTCGTTAAATAATTAATATGGAAAAACGCGTTATAGGCAGAATATTGTCAATATAGGAATTCAGTATTTCACGAGAACTCAGACTGGACAGACGAGCATGTTCGGTTCGAAATGCTAAGGCTCTCGACAGTTTAGGAAAAATATGGTGAAACTATTCAAACGGATTGCACAATTTCAGTGAGTGTACATAAGTTTGGCAATAACTAGGAAGCCAGACCGATCAACACAGGGCTCTTGCATCATCAACAGTTGTACAAGCGGCGGAGTTTCTAGTACCCAGTGGATTACGATTGTTGTTGTTCCTGGTTGTGCTTTTCAAGAATGATAATGCATTATGAAAGCAAGTAGTGAAGATCTGGAAACTAATCGAAGAAAACTACAGTTTTGTGATTTATGGCGCTGCTCCAGTGAAACTTACGAAGCTCGTGGAATATTCCCAATGTTTTGATAAACGAGTGATTTGAAAAGATATAGTGATTATTGGAAAATCCCTGTTGGAATACATAAAATAAAGAAAAAAAAAACTACAAACAACTGGAGCGATCACACAGTAAGTATGTTTCATGAAAAAAGAGCAGGCTATGAATAACATTGGAAAATGTATTGTTGAAGATTTAGAACAGAGATTTCTTAGGTCTGCTTCCTGATCAAATCCCCTTAACATTCTAGCTTCAAAGATCAGTCCTGACTCTAGAAGAAGGGGAAAATTATATACAAATCGTATGGACAGCAATTGTTGCATAAAGCACTTATCATTTGAGGGAAATTATTGACACACTACAATAATAAGCTATGTTTAAAAGTTAATGTTCATAAGGATGGAGGTGTTATCTCATTTTTCAATATCCTCATAGATTAATGAGAACTGTCAGTAATAGAACCTCTTCTTAAATTTACCCTTTCATTACTTTCACTTCAGCGTGATTTTCAAACTTTTTCCAGACAATTTTCGATCCATTATTTCCGAAGCTCACTTACACTTCTAGCCATGCAATTTCACGTATCATCAGTCTAAAACATCTTAGATATGGATAATTCTGTAATATTGGACATCCCTAACAGTCTCTTCGGAATGTTAATGTATTTATATTAAAAAATATCATAGACTAAAAACGCAACCACGAAAAATGGTCAACACAATCATATTTGTTTACGATCGTTCATAATCGAATAAAAAAATTCCACATTTATTTAAAGATTAATTAATATTCGACTACATAATTTAAAAATTTGCATCATTCGTGAGTTACGATTTTCAATTGTTTCTATTGATGAGAAACAATTAATGAAGAAAAATTACAAGAATAATTTTTAACAGTGAGAGATACCCAATTTTACATTTTGTCCAATATCCATATACATATTTTCCAATATCTTAGAAGATTTAGTTTAAAATCGTTAACAATTTTTAAAAATGATGGCAAATCAGCATATTAAATTTAAAAAAAATCTTAAACAATGGTCCAGTGCCGTATTAGCGATAATGGACTAAGGCCAGGGCCCCCAATTTGAAGGGGCCCCTGACTCAGGGATATCAATCATATTTATCCTTCTCAATAATATGATTCAAGAAATTAATCGTTCGTTCGTTTTGTATTTGTTTCGAACACTGAAACCTTACAATTTGATAACATGTAAATAAAAATAAAATCTCTACTGTTAGATTACATTAGAAATGCCCGGCGGGTAGCCAAAATCTCAAGAGCCATGGGCATATTTTAATACAGCTCTACGCTCTTGCTCTACGCTCAGGCTAACAAAGCACCAACTTTTTAAGGTTTCTGTTTAGTTCTTGTTCCCACCGCCTAGAATTTACTCGATTTTATCTTTTAAATAGAGCGTCCTAGGGAGAAGTTTTCTGGGGTAAAGTTGTGCATTTCATACTATTGAGAAAAGCTGACCAAACCAAGCAGGAGAAAATAACTTATAAATACCTAATTTTGGTACTAATACCAAAATTCGGTGTTGGTCAGTCAGACATTAGAAGTAAATAACCAAAGAATATTACCAAAAAAATTGCATGCAAAATGCATCGTAAATAACGAAAATTGCTTTTTGTTTACCAAAAGAATACCTGTGAGGTATTGTTTTGGTATTGCATTTGCATTTGGTTTTGGTATTTTAGCAACCTTTTTTTTCGTATTATACCACTTATGTCAGGCTGATTCATACCAATTAAAGGTATCAAGAAATTCGATCATGCTCGGGAAGACATCAATGATTTACCAAATTAGGTAGAGGAAATGGATGTAATGTCGGCCTGAATACCCCTTATTTGGGCCCATACATAAATTCAGCAATCGACTAAATTCTCAGTAGCGACCAAAATATCCATAAGTACCGTCCAATGACGCGTTCATCTAGATAAAATTGATAAATAGCAGATTTTTTGCGATGGGCCCAACCTTAGATCCATAAGTCAACATTAGAGCCATTTCCCTTATAAGATAAAAAAAAACCCCATTAAATGGGTTTTCACCATTTTTTTTACATATGTAGGTGAAAATCTAGGATTTCGATACTTTTGGCTTCGGATAAGATGAAATAACCAGGTGGAAGGAAACCTACGGAGCATTTTGCCTTAAGGCGAAAGTGGATCGGTTAAGAATGACTTTCTTCATCGATTTTTTACAAAATAACGCAACGCTCAATCGAAAAAACTCTTTCGTGCAAAATTAAAGAACTAAAATTTCTAGCTCTAGCAGTTTTTACAAGGTTAATTTATTGTATAATTGTTTTGAAAACCATTTTCTAAGTTCAATTTTAGGACCACAATCATAGGGGGTTGCTAACTTTGCTCATCAGTTACACAAGTATTTCGTATGAAAGGTCATATTTCACTCCCGTAGATCGTTTCAAATTAATGTTAGGAACATTTCCTCTGAAGACAACATACCTGTAAGATGCATTATTTCAATGCAAACCATTTTTTTGTAACGCAATTCTATTGATAGGGGAGATGGGGGTAAAATGCTCATGCAAAGGAACACCCTCGTTTAATCCATAATCATCTATTTGTTGGATTAGGCTAATGACTAGATCTTACAATTGATATGCTTAACCAAAATTGATAAATTCTTGTTTGAATTAATGAATTAATTGAATCATGCCACGGAACCATACATTTGGACTTTATCTAGGGTCTTTCTCTATTGAATATCAAAGGTTCACGCGTGATGGTTATGCTTTCCACACTACAATTCGGGGAGCACATTATATTTCACTTGGAGTAACAAATTGTAACGTAGAAAATAACTACTATTGTCCGAATAACCATGACATACGACCTATTGAGCCAAAAGATGAAGGATGCATCTAACAACTTGCATCAATTAAATCTTTGCTTTTGGCTTGATTCAGAGATGCCAATTATTTCAAGAAATTACTATTTTTGCATGGTGCAAAATTTTTGTTTTTTTCTTAATTTTATCAACTTCAAATGAATTTCTTCTTGAAGATGTTTGCTTCCATCCATTCAGTAATTGTTCATCATATTAACTAGCAGCAGAGATACAACGGAGGCACATTTTGTTTGCAATCGGCATTTTACCACCCTTCCCCGTAATCAGTTTCTTGCAGATGACGTTGGGGATCATTGTGATCTACATTGAACTGTTTTCTGTAATGTTTAAAATCGGTGAATTTTTGAACTAAGTGTGTGTTTTTTCGAAGCACTATTAGAAATTCATTTCGATTGTTTTTTAGAAAGCCATAACTGGAAACCAGAAGAAGATGAGTTGTACAAACTAGTTATTGATATATGGATTGAACGTAAGTAGTATGGCAAGTTTAATCAAGTGTTTAAAGCATTTTATAAGTTCACATCATTGACAAGACGGCTGTGATAAAATCAAAACTGCTATTTGGATAATTGGTCTTTCCAAATGTGCAAATAATCCTCAGGATATTTATTTCAATGATGACCACCAACTGCTCAAGATAGATTAAAATGAGTGAAAAATACATAGATGGATGCTATAAACCAGACTTAATTGGCTACAGATCAGGAATATTTCGTACGCAATATGTATTGATGAAAATTGATACCGACACTTCTATTAAAAAGTTCACATGTATGAGGACTCGGAAACAGATTCAGATTAAATGTGTGTTAAAATAAAATAAGGTTAGAAACATAAATGTAAACGAATATTCTCTCTGTTTATACTCTTTAGTATGACTATGATTGCCCTGAAAAGAACACTATCAACACTTTTTTCGGCGAATTTCACGTCATGGTTCTTCTCGTTGTCTGTCCAAATAAATTATACTTTTATCTATTTTCTCTTCTGCGCTAAATCAAACGAATAGAAATAAGAAAGGATGTCGGTTACGCGCTCGAATAATTGAAAATTCGATAAATATTTAATCTAATAGCTGGAAAATGTTTACGATTAATCCTTAATCGAATAATTGGAATTGTGGACATCCCTAGAAAATAGTGTAATTCTCGCGCAACACGAGAAAAGGACCTAACATTGTTGATCGATTCTCTTCATCGATTTTCTCTTTCGCGAATAACCCGACTGAAAATTAATTTCCCATTCAGAGTGATGATTCAGGCGCAAGCTAAAATCATCTTCTGTCGAACTGTGCTGTGAGCTTAGCGAGAAATTCGTAAATGTTGCCGTGGTAAACCAAAGAGAAAGTCGATGAAGAGAATCGATCAACGAGGATAGGCCCTTTTCAAATGAAACGAGAGAATTTCATGTTATTTGGAGGTCCTTCGAAAATGTCAAAACAGCAGAATTGCAACCAGTAAGTGTAACCCAGGAACCAAAAGCGGTGCGATGCCAGTTTTCATTGCTATGACGAAAAATGAATTAAGGGGCTTAGAAACAGAGGGCTGAAAGTCAATTCTCTTCACCGATTTCCTCTTTTGATGACCATGACTTCACTAACCTGTTTCGCACTATTTCTGCTATGCTCTTCTATCATCAAGAACAACAAACGTATCTTAAGACATTTATAATGTATAACGAAAATGATAACTTGGCTCTGTAAAGTTTATTCGATTGAGCCTGTGCAAATAAAGTTATTAACAAAAAACGTATCAATGAATGTGTTTGCCGTCGAGTTATTAACGAAACAGAAAGTCGATGAAGAGAATCGATCCAAATCACTTGCACCCCTGCTTCCAAGTTTGATTACAAGATTACAACTCTGGAGAGCATTTTGTGTGGTCGTGTGTGGTTCTAAATATGACGATGAGTGTTCAAAATATTACGCAATTGAATACTCTCTATTCACACACGCCTGAAGATCGGAGGCGAATGCTACTTCGACTTGTTTCGTCTACTAACGACTTTCTGATGACAGTGTTGGGGAAGCAGCATATGCATGTACGTAATTGGTGGATTTGTTAGTTATTCCGACGCTTTTGGACGATGCTTAAAATTTACCACTTTTCCTATAGTTTCAGTCTATCGATGCGTAGAAATATTTCTGATCGATTGGTGATAAAATTATTTAAATTGGTTCAGGGGCAGCTGAACGTTTAAAAATGTTCATAACTTCGTTACATTTTCCATTCTTCGTGTGCCCCCATAT